AATGTTTATAAATTATATCCAAACGAGGATAAATGAGAACACAAGCATAAAAGGGTTAGTCAAATCTATAGTAACTGTAGACTAAATGGGCTTAGACTTGGCACCGTCCAATAGTATCCAATTAGAGCTTGACATCTCAACAACTATCCAAAGACCAAAAGGAAGAATGGAACATGTAAAGGGCTTCTTCCAAGTTGACCACGTTTGGTCAAATTATGTGACAATCACCCCTAAATCTTCGATTGTTCCCACATAAATATATTCTAACAATTGTTTTCTATTAAGAATTAGAAACTCTAACTCTATATCATCAACAATACTAAAATTGCAGTAAAAAAATGAAATTTAAAAAAAAAAAACACACAAGATTTATGAGATTTGTCGTAATGTGAGACTATATCATTGTTCGCTGTTTCATGATTCATTATGATGAAAAGAAGTTTACAAGAAAAATTTCACCTCTCTCTCTCTCTCTCTCTATGATATATAATTAAACCCTAATGATAGCTCTTTATTTATAATGACTACATATCACTGCAATTAATAGGTTTCACGACCTGACATTTTCCGTCTCCTTAAATTCATGTAAAGGAGCATGCAATTGCATGTTTCACTTAACATTTTAAAGGAGAAGAAAAATCTCTCAACATTGCAGTGAGAACAGGGAATTGAAATAACCTTAAAATGCGACTAAATTGCTTGGAAAAAAATTGAAGGAAAGGCCAATGAAAGGAATGGTAAAAGATTTCTCCAAAAGCATTCCCTGATGGTATGCCTCCGTTCTACTCATGTTTTTCATGAGAGAACGATAAGATTCTTTGAGCTTTTTAAGCAAACGGAAGTACTCGAACTTCGTCCACCGTAGCTTTACTCGCCTAAAAAACCTTACAAACAGGGTAAGAAACTTGACCTAAGACTAACAAAAACGTTTTTAGTCGGTTGAAATAGTAGTTGATATTTTTTATTTTTTTTCACTTTAAACTTGTTTACTACAAGTAAAACCTCCCAAAATAATAAGGATAAAAGTGAAAAGATAAATCAATCTGCTGAAATATATTTTTAAACTCTTTTTGTGCTTTTCGTGTCAAATTCTCTTCTCTCATAATACGGATTGGGCTTTCCACGAGTCCACTTAGGTCAATTGCTTTCCCTTTAAGCCCAGCCTCATTTTTTAATCCAATAATTAGGGCTGGGCCCAAAAAATGCAAACCGCTAACCCGCCCCGCTCCGAATTGGGTTGGGTCGGTTGGGTCTGTTTTCATTTTAAAACGAATTGGGTCAGATCGGTTTTATTTTAAAATTATTATACTCGGACCGGTTTACGTTACAAACCGACCCAACCCGATATGAAAAGTTGAAACTGTATTCCCTTTCCAAAAATCAATCCGCAGTGAAGCCCTCGCTCTCAACTTCAAATCCTAGCCTCCCTTGCCTCCCTGGAATCTCATCTCCCATGAATCTTTCCTCAATAGGCCCAGCAGTGTATATGTATGCTTACTATGCATATAATTTGCAATAATCNTGATATATAATTAAACCCTAATGATAGCTCTTTATTTATAATGACTACATATCACTGCAATAAATAGGTTTAGGTTTCACGACCTGCCATTTTCCGTCTCCTTAAATTCATGTAAAGGAGCATGCAATTGCATGTTTCACTTAACATTTTAAAGGAGAAGAAAAATCTCTTAACATTGCAGTGAGAACAGGGAATTGAAATAACCTTAAAATGCGACTAAATTGCTTGGAAAAAAATTGAAGGAAAGGCCAATGAAAGGAATGGTAAAAGATTTCTTCAAAAGCATTCCCTGATGGTATGCCTCCGTTCTACTCACATTTTTCATGAGAGAACGATAAGATTCTTTGAGCTTTTTAAGCAAATGGAAGTACTCGATCTTTGTCCACCGTAGCTTTACTCGCCTAAAAAGCCTTACAAACAGGGTAAGAAACTTGACCTAAGACTAACAAAAACGTTTTTAGTAGGTTGAAATAGTAGTTGATATTTTTTTTATTTTCACTTTAAACTTGTTTACTACAAGTAAAACCTCCCAAAATAATAAGGATAAAAGTGAAAAGATAAATCAATCTGCTGACATATATTTTTAAACTCTTTTTGTGCTTTTCGTGTCAAATTCTCTTCTCTCATAATACGGATTGGGCTTTCCACGAGTCCACTTAGATCAATTGCTTTCCCTTTAAGCCCAGCCTCATTTTTTAATCCAATAATTAGGGCTGGGCCCAAAAAATGCAAACCGCAAACCCGACCAGACCCGACCCGCCCCGCTCCAAATTGGGTTGGGTCGGTTGGGTCTGTTTTCACTTTAAAACGAATTGGGTCAGATCGGTTTTATTTTACAATTATTATACTTGGACCGGTTTACGTTACAAACCGACCCAACCCGATATGAAAAGTTGAAACTGTATTCCCTTTCCAAAAATCAATCCGCAGTGAAGCCCTCGCTCTCAACTTCAAATCCTAGCCTCCCATGCCTCCCTGGAATCTCATCTCCCATGAATCTTTCCTCAATAGGCCCAGCAGTGTATATGTATGCTATGATACGTATATTAAACGTTATTAGCATCTAAAAGTAAGATGAATTTCTACCATAGTCACTAAACTTTAATTTAAATTTTAATTGGGTCATTAACCTTAAGTTTATCTCAATTAAGACACTAAACTTCAATTTGATTTTAAATTCACCACGTTGCCACCTTATGTCACCTATTGTTCCCGAACTAACAGAAATTTCTTCTTTGACAGTCTACCATTAATTAGGTGTCCCCTAGAAACGAAAATGATAAATCAACACGCATTGCCGAAAACTATGCTTGGATTTATTCGCAAATAAATGCAGTCAGACATTAATAAATCCCCTGTTTCTTCAATAATTGGCTAATTGCTTGCTCAAATTCGAGTCCAATCAACTCATGATGCAGACATTAGCCTATCAGTATCGAATCTGAATATGAACCTCAATTATTGGTAACATCCATTTTTGCAATAGTATCTAATTAGACCTTGACATCTCAACAACTATCCAAAGACCAAAAGGAAGAATGGAACATGTAAAGGGCTTCTTCCTTTTTGTGTGTAGAAGCGAATTTGGCTTTGGGACAACTTGTTAGCAAGTTGACCACGTTTGGTCAAATTATGTGACAATCACCCCTATATCTTCAATTGTTCCCACATAAATATATTCTAACAACTGTTTTCTATTAAGAATTAGAAACTATAACTCTATATCATCAAGAATACTAAAATCAAAGTAAAAAATAAAAATATGAAAAATACGTAAGATTTATGAGATTCGTCGTAATGTGGGACAATATCATTGTTCGCTGTTGCTTAATTAATTATGATGAATAAAAGTTTACTAGAAAAATTTCACACCCTATTTTATGTACTCTCTCTCTCTCTCTCTCTCTCTCTCACACACACGCATAATTAAACCCTAATGATAGCTCCTTATTTATAATGATTGCAATAAATAGGTTTCAGGATTTAACATTTTCCGTCTCCTTAAATTCATGTAAAGGAGCATGCAATTGCCTGTTTTACTTAACAATTTAAAGGAGAAGAAAAATCTCTTAAACATTACATTGAGAACAGAGAATTGAAATAGCGTAAAAATGCGACTAAATTGCTTGGAAAAGAATTGAAGGAAAGGCCAATGAAAGGAATGGCAAAAGATTTCTCCAAAAGCATTCTCTGATGGTATGCCTCCATTCTACTCACGTTTTTCATGAGAGAACGATAAGATTCTTTGAGCTTTTTTAATAAACGGAAGTACTCGAGTTTCGTCCACCGCAACTTTCCTCGCCTAAAAAGCCTTACAAACAGGGTAAGAAACTTGACATAAGACTAACAAAAACGTATTTTAGAGCATGTCTGTCACAGATTTTCATCTCAATTTCCATTGATTTTTCGTCCGTTATTTGCCAGAGCAGCCTACCATTTTTTACTCTTCCTCTCTAAGGTGGCCCCCACTTATTGACTGTAACAGTCACATCGTTGATTAAAATTGGATGAAAATCTTTGGCAGACAAGCTTTTAGTAAGTTGTAGTAGTTGATATTTTTTTATTTTCACTTTAAACTTGTTTATTACAAGTAAAACCTGCCAAAATAATAAGGATAAAAAGTGTGAAGATAAATCAAACTGCTGAAATATTTTTTTGAACTCTACTACATCTACATCATGCTTGTACAGCGTGGTGTACACTCCCCTCACATAGAGGGGGCCCACAATTTTTTTATTCATGGTGGGGCCCCCTCACATGTGAGGGGGCTGTACACCATGCCATATGGCATGTACATGGCATGGTGTACAATCATCATTTTCCTATTTTTTTAAAACTCTTTTTGTGCTTTTCGTGTCAAATTCTCTCTCATAATACGGATTGGGCTTTCCACGAGTCTATTTAGATCAATTGCTTTCCCTTTAAGCCCAGCCTCATTTTTTAATCCATCTAAAAATAAGACTAATTTCTACCATTGTCACTAAACTTTAATTTAAATTTAAATTGGGTCATTAACCTTTAGTTTATCTAGACAGTAAACTTCAATTTGATTTTAAATTCACCACGTTGCCACCTTATGTCACCTATTGTTCCTGAACTGACAGAAATTTCTTCTTTGATAGTCTACCATTAATTAGGTGTCCCCTAGAAACGAAAATGATAAATCAACACGCATTGCCGAAAACTATGCTTGGATTTATTCGCAAATAAATGCAATCAGATATTAGTAAATCCCCTGTTTCTTCAATAATTGGCTGATTGCTTACTCAAATTCGAGTCCAATCAAGTCATGATGCGGACATTAGCCTATCAGTATCGAATCTGAATATGAACCTCAATTATTGGCAGCATCCATTTTTGCAATAAGCACAGAATTTTACATTTCCATTTCTTAACTTGATCGGTTTACACTCGATTATACATCGATCAAAATTATTTTTCTTCACTAGTTTCTTGTTAGAATTAACCATCTGGCTGGCTATTCACAATCTTCATCCATTCCACAACAAACTGATGCATCGACCAAGGACAGACTCGGAATACAGCTCTCCGACAGAGTCAACCCGGCGAGTTTCTTGTCAACATTCTTCGAGGGACTACTTGGCATCGACCTCATCAACTTGGGACTCTCCAAACTCTTTCTCAATACGTGTCTGATAGCAGTGATCAGATGCTGGGTTGGGTCCGGCGGTGGCCCGGCGAACCTAAATTTGTTGCAGAAGCTGAAATGGCGAGCCATAGCCTCATCTGGGCTTATCAACTTTTGCTTTTCGCAACGTAAAACTTCATCGTTCACTGCCTCTGAGCATAGCCCACAAATCCATTTTCCTTTATAACGCTCGCGCACAGTCTCTATATAAGACAGGGTGCATTCCTCTGTCAATCCACAGCAATCGCATTCAACAAAATCAATCTCATTTTGCCCTGTAATTTTCGAATCACCGCCGATGATACTCGTCGACATGCCTGAAAAAGAACAAATTCACACAAACGAGATGAATCCAAAACATGGGTTTTGCAAACAAAGCAGAATCCTATTAAAAATTAACCTGATCAAAAGAGAGAGACGAAATTTGGGTGTGTTTTCTTATCTTGCTTTCTCCCACTTGCGACCTTGGCTTCCTCAGGGACGAAGAACGCGTGCATGAAAGACATTTCAGAAAATTGGATACAATGATTTGGCTTAGAGAGAGTATGAATATGAATCAATCAAATCCAATAAATTTAACACACTATGGTGTGAATTGGGTTTAAAGGGAGGGGTAGAGTACACGTCAACGGAGAATTTCTAGCCTTGTGTATATTACTGGATTTGCCAACTCCGCGTTATCTGTGTTGCGAATATTATAAAGAAATGGCGTGCTTTCTTTATGCCGTATCAATCACGTGTTTTTATGACACGAGTACGAATCCTACATGTTATTTTCATTTTCCAGCTAGACTATCCAAACGTGAAATAAAACTACTCAAAATATTTTACTCATTTTTTAACAATATTCTATTAATTCTCTTTATCAAAAATAAAAAGAATCAAATAAGAAATTATCTTATTTTTATCTCTGTCCTCAGTTGAGATTTTAATGAATTTTTTTAAAAAAAATTAATCAATTTCTTGAGTTTGAATAGAAATAATTTGATGTGGGGCAGTTTCTTTCACATTTTCATTGATATGAAAATATGAGATACATGCATGGACAAATCAAATGCTATGTTTGTTCTAACTTTTGCTTCTTCTACTTCATGTTATATCAATTTTGTCTACCCAAAATTGTTAGATAATGAATTTCAATAAATTAGAATGGTTTTTGTTGTTTGTCATCAAAAAACAAATTTCAAGTCGTACGAACGAGATTGAGTCATATTTCTATTAGAGTGAGGTCATGCGTTAGTAAATGCACATCTATTCACTTACAAATTGGAATATATGAGTGTACACGTACATAGGGACGGATGTAGGGAGACGCTCTATCCCACTTATAGTCCAGTCCTAGATTTGTTCCTGCGCGTACATACAAAATGTGAATGGGCTATAAAAAAAATGTCAAGTCCAAGCAAATAAATAATGAAATAAAATGTCTTATAGATTCAAAGTCAAGTTTGTCGCTTAGATTGTTAAATAGTTTACTCTATATACATATATAAAATAGATGATGGACCAAAGGAAAAGAATGTGTTTAATTATATAGTATACAGTTCATGATTGTGAAAGTGACTCTCACTTACAATGAAAAAGAAAAATACGAGTTGGAGTTTGAAGAAGGAAAGGGAGAAGTAGGTCAAGTAGCCCTTGACCCGTGATAGATAGAGAAGGATTTTTTCAATCATATAGTTTGAGCTTCTAGAATATGATGCCCTTGAGATGGACCACCTTCTTTCATACTAAAACTCGCTCAAATAGCAAACAAGACGATCAATGGGATTTCCGATCCAAGAATGGTATGTGTCAATAGATGATTAAGCATTGTTTCCCCAAGTTCAATAGATGATTAATAATTTGTTTGAACCTCATCTTTTCTGAAAAATAGATTTTGTAATAGTGATTTTTTATTTTTTTAAATTCTGATTTTGTGTGTAAAGTTCCTCCGACTAGCCGTGGCATCCGTCATTGGAAATACCGCTATCACTCTCACAACCCACTTCATCGAAAGCTGTTTTGCCGGGGTTGTCGCTAACGATTAAAAAAGAATTCAGACGATTGTGTAAGGAACTGAC